CGGAGTGTTGTCTGCAGCTGGTCAAGATATTCTGCGGCTTCCGCTGTGGGTGGGATGTAGGTATTCGTAATCAGGAGACTTAGTCCCACTGCATCAATTGCTATGGTAACTTGGTCTCTTGACAGTGAGATACTTGTAAGTGACCATTTGTTACGGCAGCAGACTATGGCAGCTCTTGACCCTTCTCTTTCCGGGTTCTCGAAAATGGTCCAGGATAAGGGGAATTCTGCCACCCTTCCTGCTTGGATGTATGGTTCTTGTATGAGCAGAAGGTCAGCCTCTGTTTCCATTGCATAGTGGACTAATTGGGCGGTAGCTGCCCGAGCTCTCTGGAGGTTCACCTGTATGATCTTAACCTCTTCTTGCGCATCTAGGAGAGAGTTAATGTCCTGTCTTTCGGTACTATTACTTTGTTGTGACATTCTGTAAGGTTACAACGTTGGGTGACGATGGAGGGAAAATGAGACAGATTAGAGAGTATGCTTTTGGTGTCACCATTATGCAGTATAGGTACACTTGGTATTCAATTGGTGACTGAGGTACCGTAATCTGTCCGGCCCTTGATCTTAAGCACTTGCAAGTGAAAGGAGGGGCAGTCAGGGGCATATGCGGCATGCACAGTGTCGAAGTCTCTCCCCCGAGTGCTGGTTGGCAATTAGACAGTTTACACAGCTCGGGCTATCAGCCATGCATTTTTTGACATCGTGGTTTCCACCACAATATGCACAATGATACCTAAATTACCTAAATTTACAGTCTCTTGCCGAATGTTCGAAGTCCTGGCAGATGAAGCATCTGCGTGCCCCTGTAAACTCTGTCACACGATGTTCCCTCCATCCCTGGAACGAAACTCTTTGATCCATCAACGTTTTAAAGGCTGTCGGTGAACAGTCTAAAATCCATTTAGCCGCCTTGTTCCTCCGATCGCTGATCCTGAAAGAGACCTTGAAATCATCTTTACTGATAGTAAAGGTCCTAGAGACAAGGTCTGCTACCTCCTCCGCCGGGGTACCATTTGGAATATTATCTATCGCGCACTTTGGGGACCTTTTATGTGGAATCCTCGTGCTGATCTTATCTTTGATGTTAACATTCTGTGCCAGGGCATGGTATAACTTTGCCACATCCTCCTTCGAGTGACAGCGCACTGCAACTCCTCCTTTGCTGAGCTTCTGTATTCCTTTCAGTGACACCCCCATATCCATTAAGGGCGCATGCCTTTCCAGTTCTATTTGCAGGTCTGGTGCATGTTCGTCTTTCGTAGGAAAAAATAAGGAGCGTGGGAAGATCCTTAATTTTCGGTCTTAGATTCCGCTGCAGTGTCTCTGCATATGAGCGTCTCTTTGCCGTGCCACCTAGATGTGTGTTCTCAGACTGAATCCTTCCTTGAATGACACTTTTGTGAAGCACTGTTCAGCCCGACACTTTAGCGTGCAAGCCTTCACAGCACTGATATGCATAATTAAGTCGCTTGTGGGCGTCTGTAAGAGTGTCCGTGTGCTTCGTCCCTAAGAAGTGCTCCATGTACTGTGGCGAGGGTGAGGACCCTATGGGGTTAAACTCTGTAGTGGTACCAACTTCCATGGTTGGCAATTGGGGGTATTCATTCGGGCCTTTGTGGGCCAAATGCCTGAGGACTTCTAGGATCTCAAGCATGCGCTCTCGCAAATCTTTAGGCAGTAAGTGCCGATTTCGCCGTTCTATAGTGCTTACACTGATAGCTTCCTTAATTAGGGCATCTATTTTTTCGGCATAGCTGAGAGAATCACTGTCGTAGAGGCTCTGCGGGTTTAATACTGCTGCACAAATCGAGGTGCCTCCGTCATTCATGGTGGAAGTTCCGTGGACACTGGACTGTTGCACAGATAGAACACTACAAGCCCTGAATGCTGATTAAAAACACAAGAGTTCACTTGAACTATGAGATTCAACTAGACATTGAAGCTTCACTAAAACGCAGATGCTAAACACTGAGCACTATAAACTGATGCTATAAACACTAGAATTCACTAGTAAAATGCTAAAACGTTGGGAAATCAGACGTTGGGTATTTCTCTGTAGTCTCTTTAAAAAACACAAAAATAATTCACTTCACTTGAACGTCGAGATTCCACTAGACACTGAAGCTTCACTAAAGCGCTGAAGCTAAAACACTGGTCACTACAGACTGAAGCTAAAAACACTAAAATTCACTGACAAAGCACTTAAACATTGGGAAAATGAGCGTTGGGTGTATCTCTGTATATTCATAAAAACAGAAAAATTCATTTGGACTCTGGGATTCCACTAAACACTGATGCTTCACTAAACACTGATCTCTACACACTGATGCTATACTCACTGATACTATGAACACTAACTTACACTGTGAAAGCACTGAAGCGTTGGCAGAACACTAACACACTGTAAAAACACTGAGGAATCACTGATGGTACTGAAGATAATACTAAATTGACACTGAAAACTACACAGTCAGTGCTGGTATTTCTCGGTAGTACTTTATAACAATAATTACAGTATTAATTAATTATGAGATATAAACGAACAGGAAATAGTATTCGAAGAATTGTTATAACCTGTGTGCAAAGGGTATAGGAACCAATATACACAAATTATAAACAGTAATTAATAAGATGAGATCAGTTCATACATATAATTAATTAACACACAATGTCCTATTAGTAATTATGCTAAAATGGGCATAAATGAGAGTCAGGAAGCCATGCGTAGCTTAATGTAGACTATTTAATTTCACTGAGGCAGGCTATGCTTGAATTTATTTGGCAACAGGGTAATTAATAAAAGCTGTTAATTAGAGGTACTGAAACAAAATTCCTACCTTAGCAGCTTAACTTCTTCTGTTTTTCATCTGTTAAAGAAGAGTAGTAAGTAATCCGAGGTATCAAATTAATTGCATTAATTACACTGACACGCACACACACTATAGCTTGCACGGTAAACACGAAGATGGCAAAATTCCTTAAGTCTAATAAATTCGACTTTTAAATTAATAACTTCTGAACAAATTGTCCTAATTTCACAAAATTTAAAAACTTGTAGCGCTCTCTGGGTGACTGAAACAATGGCACTAGTGCTGGAGTCGTCGCTTGTTAATTAGCCGCGTAATTACAGCTGAAACAATACTCCACTTGTCGATTTTCTCCCTTTTGTTAAGAAGCTTTGAATGGAAAGCTACGGGGGGTAGATTGCTTCCGGTTGACCGTTGGTAAGGCGAAAAGGTCAAAGTTCATAAAATTGCACGTGAAAAACTTTATTTATTGCTGGGCTTCTAATTGACATACGAACTTGCAATAAGCATCAAAACACTCGTGAAGAAATTGCGAATCCAATGATATAAAACACAAGGAGTGTTGGCGAACGGCGGCTGCTAGATGGGCGCTTGAAGTCGCACGGAAAGGCTTACTTGATTATCTTCTTAGCCGTTAATCTTCTTCTGTTTTTCATCTGTTATTAACATCTAATCCAAAGGCAGGGTGTAACACATATGAAAACACAGGCACTAACACATTAAATCACTGGCACACTAATGCGGCACTTTCCTTAAAGATGGCAATTAATCCATATCTCGAGAAGTTATTGGTCGATTTCTTCCAAATTTACATCCTTACGCTCCTCATGGCTTCAAAGAGACGATTTCGAAGAAAGTAATTTGCTAGGCTAGGCTAATTAGTGGCGAAATTAGCAAATTGTAAGAAAACGTCCACTAGTCGAAAATCCCCCTTCGTCAACAAAAGGAATCCAGTTCGACGGGGGGTCGTTGATAGCTCCCTTTGTACTGCCAGTGAAGAAATGTCGATGGTTGCTCACTGCGGAAATGTCGAAGGTCACCAGACCTCGTGGTTGATAATTTAATACTTTAAATATTCATAACTCTCCGCTGCTAATTGTCGTAGACACTTGAAACCGGCATGCTTTTCTTCCTCGGAGAGTGCTCTATAAGATGGTATAACTTTCTTCCTGCGGCGGGGCACGACGGCTCTCACAGAGGGCCTCGAAGTCACAGCGACCGTTGAAAATGGCTCTGTTCAATGTAAATTCGTTAAAAAAAAAAAAAATCAAAATTAAGGAACTGATTATCGTAGATGCAAAATTTTGGTCTCAAAATGTTCCTAAGAGCTTTAGTAATACGGTGCAACTACTTTTGTATCGCTACGATGAAAACTTCCGCTGATAATGGATGAAACAACGGAGCTCAAAATACGCGTCCTTCTCTTACGGTATTTTCCCTAACCTTCTACCTGTTGTAGACAGCAAATTCCAACCTTTTTCTTTCCAATCAAGCACCCTGAAGTAAAGGGCGTGTTTACCATGCAGGATTCATTTGTTTCCATTATGGCAGAAAAGGTGTAACACTTCAAAATAAGAGGTTAAAGTTATCAAGTCAGAAATTTAAAGACTCATTCTATTCTACGGAATTTCCATGTATTAAAGCATCTATAGATTTGATAAATCATGCATTTTGCACTAACAACATTCTTTTCAGTTGCACATAGCATAAAGGATGACTGTATGGTATATAGCATAAAGGATGTGTATGGCATATAGCATAAAGGATGTGTATGGCATATAGCATAAAGGATGACTGTATAAATGGCCTTATTTTCTCAAAGGCATAAAGAAATCAGTGCTATAAAATAGAAAGGAATATTAAATTTCTTCATGAAAGATAATAAAAGAGATGTTATAAAAGTCAAATGCTATTTAATTCAATTTATAATTGAACACCACCTTTCAGTTTCAGACCATTTGAAAGAGCTTTTAAATGCTGTGTTTCCAGATTCTGTGTGTGTGTGTGTGTGTATATATATATATAATTTATTTCCTAAACAATATTGATTAATTGATTATATTCTCTCCTAAGTTTAATTAAAGTAGAATTATTTTAAAAGAGTGAATCCATACTGGTAAGTTATATTTTGAAAGATGTTTTGAAGTAACTTGAAAATAAAATGTTAATAATGTTTTAACGGGGACTGGAATTAAATCATAATGAAGAACAAAATTTCAATTGTAAAAGGAAAAATTAAATTAAAAACATGTAATCATTGTCATTGATCGGAAATTAGTTGACTTTTCAAGGGGAACAAACCAACTCCCGTTCAATGAACAATAATTAATAAATAAATACGAAGGTGTTTCGTCTTTACTCGAGTTATACGCAAAGCCAAAGCGGCAATTCTAGTCAGGCTAAATATTTCCGTGAATAGAAGGGATTATGAACCAATGCTGATACTCAAAGAATTTATGAAACATTTTAGCCAATTCAATTTGGAGTAAAAAGCAATTTCTATAGAGAAATCCGAAAAAACTCGAGTAACCGTCCTCGACACCCTCATGTTTATGCATTTGAGTTCTATATTATTTGTAAAAATTAAACATTGGAAATTGTCATTATGAAATAGAATTCAAAGTAAAGTTGAAATAAACATAGAAGATTACAAAAGATAAATAATGCAAACTTTGTAAAAACAAATCAAAAATAATATAAAAAATATAATAAGAACAGTGAATGTACATGAAGATATAAAGGCCAGAAAAGGTATTAAGTAACTTACATTCTTTCTAGTGGGGAGTTGGCAAAGTGTTCTCTTCATGTCTGACTCATAAGTGTAGGGTGTCCGAAAATTCTTAGCGGCAGTGGGGGCTTTCAGTCGGTAAGACTTGGGTGAAGTAATTTATGGTAGTGGGTGGGACTCGGAATTCTTCAGGGATGTATTATGTGGAGTTCTTATTTGAGTGAAACTGTCTTTAACATCTTAACGATTTTGAAAATACTAGTGAATGGAAATTAATTAATTTCTGGCTAATTGTCATGTCACAATGATTAAGAATTAAAGAAAGGAAAAAAGGAATTTTCACTGTCCAAGAGCTATCAGACAGACTAAAGTCATGAAATAGGCCCTTTCTTTTAGTAACACCATAGTAGCAGCATAAGTCTGAAGACAATTAGCTTTTTACAATATATACAACTGAGTAATTACACTATATACAAATCCTTCAACTGTCATCCAACTTATACCGCCTTCTCAGGTTTAGGAACAAATTATCATATCCCTATCAGTTAAATGATTTAGAGTGAGTATTTAACGCTTGCTCTTTCAAGGCAATGGTTAATAAATTGAATGGGTATTAGATTATTTTTGAGAATTTTAATAAGGAGCAAAATTTCGCATTGTAAATCTATTGTATCTGTGCATATAATTTTAATTTGTTGTATTTGATTAATTATTGTATTGTTAATTACTTTTTTGGATATGTTGGAGTTCCAATTTATTAATTTGTTAGTATTGAAATTGAAGTTTCTTGTTTTGTCAAATTGTAAAATTTTTTTGTAGTTAATGATTTGAAGATCTAGAAAGTCTATGCTATTTTGTGAATTATTAGTTTTATTAAGACAATTTGGATAAATCTCGGAGTGTTCAATTTTACCAAAATTATTAATTGTAATAAGGTCATCAATATATCTGTAGGTGTGTTTATAGTAATTTAACTCTTGTGGTTGTAGATTTTTTTTTTTTTTTTGGAAGTTAAATTCTTTGATAAATAAAAAGATATTACAGATCGAGGAGCTGGAATGTAAGCCCATTGGCAATCCTCTGACTTGTTTAAAAAGTTGATTTTGAAACTTGATGTAGTTATGAAAAAGTGTGCATTTTAGGTAGGTTTTCCATTTGTTAAGAGTCATAATTTTGAGCCTATCAGGGAAGAGTTTTGGCAGATCAAGTAGACTGGTATAGATTTCTTCTAGAGGAAGTGAGGTATATAAGTTTTCAAAGTCATAGCAGTTAATGTTTTGGATGTTAATTGTTTGAATGGTATTAATGACAGGATATGTTTCTTGTATATATATATATATCAAAAAGGAAATGTTGGAACAAAATTGGAAATTTTTGTTCCTTGTATATGAAGGTTTAACCATTTCTTCTCCAGGTAAGACCAAATGGAGTACATGGAAATTTAAAGAATCTTTAAATACATTATCTTAACTGAAAATTTAATATGACTGAAGAGGAATTTTTGAAAAATTTTACAGAACATCATACCAAACAAAATAAAATAACATTTTATTAATCTCTTCTGTTTAACTCTTCAAACAGAACTTGTCAAAGGAAAAGTGTTTTGAAGCCTTAAGCCAAGTTGATTAATGTGTTTGAAATACATGTTTTGTTCCTCTGAATCATTTGAGACTCAAAATTGCTTTTTAGTATCAAACCTTCACTTTAAAACAACATTTTACTTCTCAAGTGTTCAGATCTTTTCCCTACATGTCTTCGTACCGAAATGAGACCAAATATTATATACAAAAGCTAAAAAACCAAAAATAATAAAAGCATAAAAATGTTTTAGAAAAACCTGAAAAAACCAAAAAAGGCCTAAAAACCCAAAAAAGGGGGGAGGGCCAAACTAACTAATTGCATAAACATATTAAATTAAGAGGAAAATCTTACATTGAAAATTAAAGAATCAAACATGTTTCTTCAAAATTGAAAAATAACTTGTTTGGTCAAATTATTTAAAGCCAAAAACAAGGGCAGCTCAATTTGCAGTGAGCAGAGTTTTATTGAAAATTTTTTTATTAAAAAGGAAAACCAAGAAAATTATGAAAAAAAAAGGACAAACGTACCTTCTTTAATTTTATATCTCAGCAGAATGAATGCTTTGAAAGTCGAAATAATGGACACTGGTGGGGTTTCACGAATATAGATGAACCCTGCAAAGGGGCTTACCAAAAAAGGAAAAGGGAATAGAGAAACATACAGAAAAACCTGTGAAGGTCTAAAAGCAAAGACTATATTTATTCTGTATATTATATGTATATATATATACAGATTAAATACAGTCTGTATATTCTGTAAAGAATAAATATATATATATAATCATATTCTATTTCAACCTAGTCTAGTCCTAACTAGTGAAGCCATTCTCAATGGAAAAGTAAATATGTATGCAAATGAAGAACCATGTTACAGAATTCTAATTCAGAAATTAAGCTTGTAAAGTATGCTAGTGTTTTAGCTGATGGTTATATGTATATATCTTATCTTTATGTAGAATTTATTTATTTATTTACTTATTTTGATGTAGAAATAAGAATCCAAAATCATCATAAAGTTATATGGTTTATGGATTCTAATTTCCTGTATGATTATTTGTGATTTAAATATTTGCTTCAATAATATATTAATAGATTAAGTGATATTATTGCTTAAAATCTAATAAAATGGAAATTTCTAATTAAGTATACGTATAATTACAAGAATGAAAATGATTTTTTTTTTTTTTTTTTTTTTTTTTTTTTTGTAGTTATATGATAATAAAATGCAAATTCCTAATTAAATTACAAAAAGTCTGCATTAAGTTACAAAAAGTCTTTTATATTTATGGATTTTATCTTAAATGTAATTAAATTAATTACATATAATAGTTATTTAAAATCAACAAACAGTTAATTAGAAAAATATGCCTTATGTGCACATTTTCAAAGTTGTAAAAGTGTCATTCATGCATTGACTTTTGTTAAGTTTTGCTGAAAGATGGAGTCTATGTATATTGTTGCATGCGTACGGGTCCGTTATACATTGAATGCACAGGTCCGATAAAAAATGAACAAAAATTTATTATTATCACAAACGCATAAATTTCCTTAGATTTCTGTACAGTATTACAATATCTCACAGTAGTTATCTCTTAACTACTCAAACGTTCGAACTTAATTCAAAAACAGCTAGAGAAAGCTAATCCGCGAATTCGCTACAGTTAACAAAAGCAGTTTCTAAACAAACTCTTAAAACAACAACTAACTAACCAATTGAGAGGTTTTCATGCTTATATGAGCTTTTTAAATGCACTAGAATTTTCTAGTATTTCCTCGAAAAGCAAAAAGAGATATTTATTTATTAAATGTTAAGTGCACGTGCTCTTGTATTTTTAATTTTCCGGCTTAGCTTTCTTTTAATATTCATCATGCTGCACTCTTAAAATCACTTAAGCAGCCTGCCCCAGTTTATCCAATATGGCCAAAGCAGGAAATCACTACATATCCCATGTTCTTGTGGAGAGTTTTGCTTAGATAAGACTATTTTCTTTGTGAATTGTGAAATTAATTGCCATATTTGTAGATACTTATGTTATATAGATCTATTCTACTGAAGTTGCATGTATACCAAAATTATGGTTGTAGAGCTTCTTTTCCCACTCAACAATTTGTTTTTGGACAATTAGTACAACACTACTGTATCTGGAATGAAGAAATAATAGACCATTCACATCAGAGCTTTTAGATTATCTATAAAAGAGTAAAGCTACAAAAAAGATGCTAAAGAAAACTAACTGTGCCATTTTGTTCCCAACAAAAATTCTCTGTGAAATTCGTACATCGCGTGTGCCCTTTTCATTTTGAAAATTTTTTCATCAACGGGTAATTCTTTCTCATACTCAACATTAGTTTTATAATTCTGCAAATTAGAAAAGTATTTTCAGGCTTGTGAATCACTCTGTAATAAGTAGCATATGTATGAGGATAAATATTCTTAATATTTTTTTTTCCCCAAGTGCCTGAACACTTGCTCTTCAAGCACCTGTCAAAAAAGGGATTTGAACCTGGGCTAGCATTATGGCAACTGGCTTTCCTAGCACCATGCTAGTGGGATGTCAACGATCTTAATGATGAAATTTTGTATATTTAGATAAATTAAAAGATTAAAATAAGTATTAAAATATTCCTTTCCTGTTTATTACTAAAATTGCAGAAACTGAATTTGAGATTTCACGATGCAGCAATCCAAATTGAATCCCAATTTAAATTTGTATTTAGGTCATTCATATAATCTGATTACTAGAATTGTTAAATGAGCTTTGAGTTGACACAATATAGTAGCATTTTGATAATTACAGGTACCATCAGATGTACCGTATGTAGAATTAGAGGCAACTGGTTCAGGTGTTGGAATAGTGCAGGTAAAATTATAATCAGCTTTTTGAATTTTTACTGGCATGTTATTTAAGGAACAAAATTAATTTTATTTAATTTTTGTCTTAGAATTGCAAGACCTTTTAAGCAATTCAATTAATTTTATTTTGCCATTTAGGTTAGCTGGTCCTTCAATTTAGCAGTATCGGGAGAGACTCCTCAATTTTTCTTGAATGCTTTGCTTGACAAGACATCAACAGCTAGTTATTTGCAGCTTAGCATTTGCTCACAGTAAGATATTTTCCGTAATTCTTTCTTTTTAATTAATAATTTTAATTATTTGATTTTAATCTTAGTGTGTAATTTAATACAGAGAAATGAAATACAAAAACCAATTTATCAAAGGGGGAAAGAATTAGCTGAGGTTTTCGTGAACTTCATATGCATTACTAATCTTCCGCTGAAGTGTTCTACAGTTATAAAAGTGGTGTCTACATTTAGGAAAATAAGTATGTAATGCTGAATAAATGAAGCAGGATAGGCAAAAATTTTCAATTAAAATATTTTAGATTGCTTCTTTTACAGAATGAAGAAATGTTTGTTTTGTCAATAGGGAACAAAATAAAAGTGAATGAGAGGTGATGATTATGCAACTATGTGTTTAAAACATTTCTGATAGAAATGACAAGAAATATTTGGTTTTGATGATCTACACATTTTGATACTGGGTTATATACCTGACATCATCATTAATATGCAGCACTCATTTTTTGCTAATTGTTCCCTATTTTGTTCCTTTTCTTTATTGTAACAAAGGAATAATACAATCTGAATATCATTCTGTTTTATGGACTAAAATACTATATCAGCGAGATAGTTTGCACCTCTCTGTAATGTTTAATAAACATTCATAACTTTTTTTTGCTAACGGGATAGTTCTAAATAAACTATAATTGGAACAGAAACAAGCCAGGTTAAAATTATTCAAAACCTTTACTAATTTAAGGTATTTTTCAATAAAATTAGCTCATTTAAATAGGTTTATATTTTCTATGCATATTTCCTGCCATTTGAAATTTATTTAATAACAGTAGTGTAATGATTTGAAACTATTTTTCCTTAATTTTTTAATGCTGGATCAATGATTTCTGCAGTCTATCAAGACAGTTAGACAAAAAAAAATTGCTTTCCCTTCTGTGGTGATGGTGTTCCCACTATTGGCTGAAGAATAATATCACCAAACACTGGTAATTCGATTTCAGGCAAACAGACTGGCTACATGGGCATATTTATGGTTTTCTTCATGTGTAACATGAATATGAGTCAGTTTTTCATAGGAAATCTTCCATGAAAGCATCCTTTCCCTTAGGTAGATAGCCCTAGTATGCTTTGTCATAATGAAATAACTCCCTCCCCCCAAAAAAAAAATTTTTTTTTTTTCCTTTTTTGGTAATAGTTTGGAATATACACTTTTTCTATATCAATACAATAATATTTCTGTTCAAACAACAACTTCACCATCTGAAGTGCTTCATCATTTGAAAAAAGTCAATGAAAACCACTTTAACACATTAAAGGTGGGAGTCGTAGTACTACGATTTATCTTGACTATAGCTTAAAGGCGGGAGTCGTAGTGCTACGATTTATCTCGACTGTAACTTAAAGGCGGGAGTCTTAATACTATGATTTATCTTGACTGTAGCTTAAAGGTGGGAGTCGTAGTACTACGATTTATCTCGAACTGTAGCTTAAAGGCGGGAGACGTGGTAATACGATTTATTCTTGACTGTAGCCTGTGCATTTATCTCGACTGTAGCTAGTGCATGTATTTAGTATGTTTTGTGGTTTGAAGCTGTTCGGTTGTTCAAATTCTACTTACAGTAAATTTTGAAATCCTTCAATATGGTTTCACGTGAAAATAAAGATATATATGCAGACGATTTGATGGACATTGAAGAGCCACAACCTGGTACATCGAACTCGACACCACGGACTCCACGAGGTAAAATTGATCTGCCTGGACATCTTTCACTAGACACCAAAAAGCACAAATTAATTAGGATAGAAAATAAAGGCAAAAAGCTATATGCCCAACGAAACTGGGTAGTTTGTGCGACACATAAAAAAAGAAAGTTGACTTGCTCAAATGCGAGTTTTGAAATTTACCTCTATACCGTGGTGAGTGTTATCAACATTATCACACTTATAAAAAATACTAGATTCTTTTCATAAATATGTTCTTTAAAACATTTTTTGTAATTAGTGTTTAATTCTTTTTTAATATTTCTTGTAATTTTAAGAGTTTAAATAAACTTTTTTAAGTCTAAATTTTTTTATGATTACACAAAATATTGCCCGCTGTAGGACGAAAAATGAGGCGAAGCGGTCGCCGTGTTACCTAGCATACTTTTGTCAAGATCCCCCGCCTTTAAAAGCCAATACAAACTTTTTTTTTTTTTTTTTTTTTTTTTTTTTTTTTTGAAATCATACCGTATTAAACCCAATTTAAAGCAACTGTGTCACTTTATTTTGTGGTTGTCTCATTATTAATTGCCCCAAATATTCTTCTCAGAAACGGTTCCTTAAATCATTAAGAAGTTTTGTGTAGTATTTAATTCTTCTCAGAAAATAATGAGAGCCAATTTTATCTAAATCTGTTACATTGAAAGTACAATTTTCAATTAAAAACATTCATGGAGTTAAAGGGATGACATCTTCAGAGCTCTCCAAATTATATGTTATGGGTCAAGAATTTATTACTGACTCACAATAGCAAATTAAGGCTTCCTGTTCTTCATAACATAAAACCGATTTTCCCAAAGAGTGTCTCAAAAGTTCCTTAACCACATGAACTAGCAGTTCCCACCAACCTCCCCACGAGAAGGCTGTTGTTGGATTGAATTTCCACATTATTCTCTTTATTTTTGCCTCAATCTCTATTATGTCACAGTTAAGCTTAGACATTTCATTATAAGCCCCTTGGAAGTTAGTCCCATTGTCAGAATAAATGGTTCATAGTCTGCCTATCAATCGTCTTAAAGCCAAAAGAAAAAATTTATTGACAATAATGTCACCAGTTCTAGATAGATAACCCTGTATACAGCACATGTGAACAGTGCCATCCAAACCTTCTTACCATTTTCCAAAAACAACTGGCTAGCTGAATCTACTCCCAAAACTTCAAAAGCTCTATAATCTCCCACCCATCTTCAGGAAGAGGATTCAGTTCACAAGACATCAATTTCGCTTTATATCGTTGGCATATTACATGTCTTTTTCACACATTGCATACAGTTTTCGATTGTTTCAGTATCCAGAATCTTTCTTTTAAAATAGATTGAAGCATTTGAGTTCCAGCATGACAATGCTTCTTATAAACTGACTCGATTAACAATGTAGTAAAGATACATTTTCTCAGAAACATTGGTATTAAAAATTCAGAATTATCTTTGCATCTCAATATTCTTATTTTAACTCTTGTAATTTTTTCATTATCAATGAATACATCAAGTGGGTTAAGTGCTCCAATGTCAGGAAATTCGAGTTTTGAACCAACTGAATGAAAACCTTTTCGGAATTTACGATTTCAGCAACAGTTAATTCAGATTCTTTACATAAATTTGAATTCTTCCTACAATTAGATATAAAACATGACATCCAACTGGTTACACGAATCATTTTCTCATAATCAGAAACTCTACTGCATACCAAGGAGTGGTATCCTCTGAAAAATTAACATTACTGAGTTTTACCTTCCTTTCTTCCAAGTCAGCTTCGTTTGGCTGACAGACAATATTGGTAGGCAAAAATTTAGGGCTTTCTCATATCTAGATGGGTCCCTTATACCACTCTGAGTTAAGCACTTGCTTAGCAGAGCAGCCCCAAATAACACATCTGCAAGGTTCGTATTACCGGACACATGCCTCTATAATTTTGGTTTTCTTAATGTAGTAATTTCTTAACACAATTGGTTACAAAGCTCGACCAATTACCAGGATTTCTGATCCACCATAATGCGACTGTAGAATTACACTATGAAGTTATATTCATATCAGAAACATTGAGAGCTTTACGAGCAGAATATGATAATCAGGATCCACTGCAACCAGACATTAATTGCAATCTAGGAATCATTAGATTCTTAATAGGAGACACTTTAGATTTTGCTCTTAAGAGAGTTGTTTTTGCATTACACAAATCAGCATTTCTTGCAAGAAGACATCCTGCACAAGCATATTTGCGTGCATCAACAAAAACATGCAATTCAACAGTTGCAAATGTTCCAATGAATTGGGGTATTGCCACATTTTTCAACAAAAGTATATCAGATAACCACACAAAAAAAAATTACTTAAAAAATCATGAGGCAATACCTCATCCTAAGAAAATTTCAATTTCCATGTTTCGTGTAACAGAAGTTTTGGGAGCAAAGCTATTGGTGTTAGTATTCCAGTTGGATCAAAAATTGATTGTACTATAGACAGAATCAGTCTCTTAGCTCTTAGTATCACAAGTTATGTTTACATTTATATTACACCTTAATAAATCACTATTTAAATTCTACAATATTCCTAGAAGAGGTGTGTCCCCAGAATGCTTTGTAAAATATTTTGAAGCAACATTACTCTCCCATCTCCGTAAATTAAATCTGCGTCTCGACATAAGACTTTCGGCCTTTTGAATTAAATCTTCTTGTTCCTAAATATTGTAAACACCCATACAATTTATCAGCCACATATACAAAATCATATGAACAACTATCCAAGAGATGCTTAGTAGAAGCACCTAGTAGATATGGACTGCAGGAGATCCCAAAAACTACACTATTTTTCCCTCATCACTTGGATAGAAAAATTGCAAATATCTCTATACTTCAGAGAAATTCCCAACTGCAAGAATGTTTTCTATATGTCTGCAGTCAGACCAATAGAAAAAAATACCATTCTATCTAAAATATCAGGGACTAGTTCTGTTAAATTAGCTCCTTTCAATAAACACTGATTCAGATTTTTTTTTTTCTTTTTCTTTTCCTTTTCACAAGAAGAAGCATCAGAATGGGTCTTATCTTAGTGGTTTCACTATTGATTTTAATAACCGGTTTGTGTGGTTAAAAAGTGGCATTTATTTAATTTCTTTTACGGAACAATCTTTATAATATTTAAATTTTCCCTCTCTCTAAATACTTTTTGATATAATTTCAAAGAATTGTTTTCTTTTACCCTCTTAATAATTTTTTGATGACATGTCAAAGCAATGCTTTTGTTATCTGATAAATTGTTAGATTCACACATGTTTATTTGCAGACATTATATGTATTTGCAGACATATAATGTCTGCAAATAAACTTTTTCGCTTTTACCATTATTAGAAAGGGAAACATCCAAACTTAGAGTCATTTTGTTTTATGGAACTGAAATTCTGAGGACACATAAATTTGATATGATCATAAATGCAAATGGGACATTTAATACTGGTTTCACATTGGTTTTTTTAACCCTTTCAGGACGGGTGTCCCATATACGCATTCCGTAAGAAGGTCTCTTACAGCCAGGTGTCCCATCCATGCATCACTAGAGATTGCATTCAGAGGACAGGTGATGCATATACGTATTTTAAGCTGGAACGTTTTTCTGAAGGCCACTAGATGGCATCCTATGTCCATTACTTTTGAAATGAACACAGTTTTAGGTTCCTGACTTTGATATATTCTGCCTAACTTTGATATTTTACTCATCAACTGTCGCAAGGGTTGGGGGGGGGAGTGTAAACAGAGGTGGGCTTTTTAAATCGCTGTATGCGTGCTAATATAAACATTATGGTTAATGAACCATTTACTAATGCAGATGAGAGTGATGATTCATTTTCTAAAGAGTTAGAAAGTGATACTTTTTCTAAGAGTTAGAAAGTGATACTTCTCCGTATTTCGAGATTTACCACACTCAGTCTTCATTTTAAATTTTGTTACTTCTTACTGTATCTTTATTCTGTTGTTTTATTAATTTTAAACTTTATTGATGGATTTTTATCATTTAAAACTTTAGAATAATTTGAATAGCGCTTCCGAAAATTATTTTACAAGGTAAGCAATTTTTTAAGTATATTTTCATGTAAAATAAAGAAAAAAACGTTATTAAGTGCTAATTTTTACATATATAAGAGCTCAAGTAATAATCTAAAATGCTACCAAAAATTATGATGCTAAAAGTGAAACTTTTTTTTTTTTCTGATTTTTTTATAAAAATAGGCTTACCAATGCAAAACCTCCATCCTGTATGGTGGCCTTCGATTTCCTCCCCCCCCCTCATGAGCGTCTTAAACAAAGGTGCACCGTCGTGAAAAGGATAAATGACCAATTCTTAGACGGGGAAAACAAGCACCTTTCTTTTGCACAATTAGCCTCCTTTCATTTAAGCTCATAGTTTCAGCTTTAAAACACTTAGCGCTCATATGAGGCTTACCACAGAATATACAAACATTTTGCTTACCTTGGTTTCATTTGTACTTACCACAAAATATACAAACATTTTGCTTACATTGGTTTCATTTGTACTTACCAGCACAACAGCTGTTGCTAAATCTGAATTACCTGAGATAACACATTTAATAGAATGAGTAAATTCTGATTGAGCTAATTTATCATTTCTTCAGATTCTACTTCATGCCTCAGAAAACACATTAGTTTTTCAACTTTCAGAATTCTTTTCCTGTCCTTCTTGGGAAGCTCTACTCCTCTCCCTGGCACATAGAATATTATCAGGTAGGCATGACTCTACTAGAGGTCCCAAGAAATCAGCAAACTTTTCCTTGGGTCTTAAGCTTTCCAGCGCTTGTAATTTACTTTCTATACTATTGTAAAGTACTCCTAAGTCCAATGCCGTTCTGCCTGTTGCAGCATTCTTTGTAACAAGCCCAAGCAAATCTCTTATGTAAATCTGCACTAGAAGGTCTTCTCTTCCAATTCTTTCTTGAACCGATTGATAGATTATGGATAATTTGTGGTGGTAACAAGGAAACTGTTCAAAAGTTGAGCTGCCATAGAGCCAGGCATTGCACTCTGAACTAAGTACAAAAGCTTATCTTTCGGAACAATATCTGCATCTTCATGAATTATGGAGAAATGGCTCCAAAAGCCTAAAAACTGTCTTGCATCTCCAGAGAATTTTTTCAGTTCAAGTTTAGGATGTTTGAACTAGATCTGTTTTAAAATAAATCGATATATTTTCTAATGCATTGCTGATGCAGTTGAGACTCATTATAATGATTTCCCTGTCATGTAATAAATGGATGTTTTGAAAAACATTTCCTATATGAAAATATGGATATCTGTTGTCAGTTGCCAATATTTTTGAACTGATAATTGTAATGGAATGGTCAGTATAATGAGTGAACATTATAGTGAACCTTGGCTCTTGTAAGATTGTTTTTAACTAGATTATATTGTGACTGCATGTAAATCAAATTAATAACTAATTTCCATATTAATTCAGATCAAGATAACTGCATCAAAAATGCTCCAGATATTGAGGAGATCTCCAGAGCAGATCATGAGGTATTTCATTATCAAACTTGATCATTGCCTAAGCTTCCAAATCATTATAATAGTGCAAAAAGATTTTTATTTTAATTTCACAAACAATAGGGTTAAATGTGTGACATGAGGACCCAAAATAGGGCTTCTGCTAAGGTCTCAGACTGTCTTAAACAGGCTGTTTTCCTTTAGAACAAACATTTTCAGTCTACTGATTAAAAATATTAATGAAATGAAACTTCTGATTAATGAATATAGATGAAGGAGTATACAATTTATAATTACCGATTATTAATTTAGCTAAACTAGTTAATTGGTGTAATTAATCAGCATATGATGTAATTTACTTGAACAAAAATCTGCACAATTTATAAATGTTTAAATTAAAGAACTATATTTGATAAAATTATATTGTAAGTATATGTGTAAAATTTATGTCATACATATAGAATAAATTTATAAATATTTTAATAGAAGATTATTCTTATTAAAAATTAGAGATTTATTTATTTATTTATTTATTTATTTATTTAGCCAGCGAGAAAGAAGAAATGATACTAGTAATATGGCAGTAATGGAGGTTGGACTGCCATCTGGTTATGTTGCTGACGTTGATGCTCTTCCAAGCATTCTGCAAATTCCTAAAGTGAAAAGAGTTGAAACACAATTACAGGATACTAATGTTGTTATATATTTTGATAGGGTTAGTTTCTGGAAAAAAAAAAAAAAAAAAAAAGACTTCTTGAAAATATATTTAAAATTTAATTTTTTACTATTTCCTTCTGACTGAATAATATTAGCCCCATTATTTCTCTGTAATGTGAAAATACAATGTTATTTGCATCAATAAACTGGTGTAACACTTTCACTACCGATCACGTGTGGTTGTATTGATAGTTAATGCTGTGTCATAGAAATAGATTGTACCCATATGCTGACTTACTTATTTATAATATGATTTAAAAGAGGTAATAAAAGTTTATTATGGGTACCATATTGATAAGCCCTTAAACATAGAGTTTTATTACTACGCACCAGTGGTGATCGATACTAGAGGTAAAATTACTTCTGCAATGCCACATCACGCCCTGGCGCATGGCATTTAAAAATTAATCAAAATAAGTAACAATATGCATTGTTTAGATATGAAACTGTATCACAAACAAATATATATATTTCCAATTAATTTATTACAAGATAGTTACAATGATATTATTGCTAACTATATATTTCAGAATGTTATTTATGTATGATCTTTTCACGAAATGAAACTTTGTTTCGATTCCAAACCACATACATTTACAACTAGTTTCTAACCTTCACTCCAAGCCAATACCAGCATATACAGTGGTGGCCAAAATTGTGGACACTTTTGGAAATTTTTATGTTTTTGAACTTTGTATGCTTATAGAAAATGTTACGTTTTGCAAAATGCAAACTTGTATATATCATTTTAAAGAGAATTGATTACTGAATTCAATACAAAACACAAAATTCAATTATCTGCAATACAAAAAAGTTATATGTACTTTAATATAAATAAAAAAAACACAGTTATGAAGTGGTTTGTAATGTCCTAGCTTCCTGGCCAATCACTGTTCTTATTCTGAGAACCAATCAAATATTAGTAACTGCCAGTAGAAAGCTGACAATCATGTTTACATTGAAACAATTATTATTTTGCTTTTTTCTGTAGAAGGAGGACCTGTTTCTTATACACTGGAATTACAAGTAGGAATTTTGTAAAAATTTTTAATATTTATTAGTCAAGAAGCAATGACATCAAATAAAAGAGTAGATTGGACACCTAGAAAGAGATGTAATATTTTTGTGTTACGAGAAAGTGGTCTTTTATATGCTGAAATTGCAAGGCAGGTGGTTGGTTCAGTGACTACATCTGGAATCCGAAAGTTTTGTTTACGATATCTGGAGACAAATTCAATAAAAAACAAAGAAGGAAAAGGCCGAAAAAGGTGCACCACATCTATTGATGACAGTAGAATAAAAAGACCATGTCTCCAAGATAGAAAAATGTCATCAGCGGCCATTAGAAGTGATCTGAATGATGCTGGTGTTTCTGTCAGTTCAAGAGCAATCAGGGGAAGATTAACAGATGTTGGATGAGAGGTAGAATCCATGAAAAACTTATCTTAATTTTCAGCAACGAAAAAAAAAAGACTACAGTGGGCAAAGGAACACGTTAATTGGACAGATGATCAGTGGTCACAAGTTATATGGAGTGATGAAACTAAGATATCGTTATTCGGTAGTGATGGGCGAAAATATGTAAGACATACATAGAATAGGAGAAGAGCTACATTTTGACTGAATTCAAGCAACTGTGGAAGCCAGTTAGTGTTATAATTTGGTCATGCATGTCAGCAGATGGTATTGGTTGCCTTCCTATCATCGATGGGACACTGAATGCCAGAAAATACATTGACACTCTTCTAGAACCAAAACATCTACCTCCATCAGAGATCTCTTTCCCAACAATGCTTCGTTTATTTTCAGCAGGATTCTGCTCTTGCCACCACAGCCAAAATATCGAAAGAGTGGTTTCGTACAAGGAGCATAATTGTTGTCATGGCCGGGAAACAGTCCTGACTCATCCTATCGAAAATTGTGGCACCGTTTGAAAACTCTTGTCCGAATGAGGCGCCCATCAATAAAAGGGAACTAATTGGCTATAATTGTTCCTGGTATCATGTAATAAGAAAGAAGAGCTTAAAACTCTTGTCAGCTCAATGAAACGTCGATGTGAAGCTGTAATAAAAAATAAAGGGGTACTCTACTAAATACTGATAACTCACTGCAATCATCACTATCTAATGTATATCGATAACTATTATCATTCAACTTTTTTTTGTATTGCAAATAATTGAATTTTGTGTTTTGTATTGAATTCAGTAATAAATTCTCTTTAAAATCATATATACAAGTTTGCATTTTGTGAAACGTAACGTTTTCTATAAGCATACAAAGTTCAAAAACATGAAAATTTCCAAGTGTCCACAATTTTGGCCACCACTGTATATCCAAAATGTAATGCCGATTAAACTTGAAAACAAACAATGAGATATTGCTTTTCTCGTGCCAGCACGTAACTCACGCCTGAGACATCACCCCCCACACCACGTGCAAGAGCATGATTGGCTCTTCAACAATTATGCCAGTGTGTGATCAGCAGTGAATGTGTTAATTTTTTTAAAGATAAATACGATTTTTAATTCTAAAATTTATGTCCAATTAGATTTCATTTGTGCAAAATAAGAATTCTAGTATAATGTATAAATATATTTTTAAAAAAAGGAGAAAAGAAGAATTCTTTGTATAAAATAATGATTGGTCAGATACTTCTAAATAATTTTCTAACTTTTTTATTTCTTTTCTATTATTATTAAGCTGGACAAAGAAGAATTGTGTGTTACTGTTCCAGCACATCGCATTTTTAAAGTTGCAAGACAACGCAGAGTTCCTGTAAAAGTTTACGATTTTTATAGCCAAGGTATGCTTTTCAAAATTTATAACATGAAGTTGTAAGTTACAACTGTATATATAGAGATAGATAGATAACTGTGTAATTAGTGTGTATAAGCAGAGAATAAATTGCTTACTAACATGGTAATTTTATTATTATTAATAAGACATACATTTTTAAATATTTATAATATTTCTAATAGAAAATTTGATTAAGTGAACAAAATCGAGGGGCATTTGCAAATATGGAGATATAAATATGCATAATGTTCCCTTTTTAAAAAACAATTTCTTATTTTTAAAACAAAAATAGTTGCCATTTTATTTTACATCAATAAAGGTCACACCCAAAGTGATTTGAAAAAAAAAAAAAACAAATTTTATTTTTTCATTACTTTCTGTAAAGCGTAACAAAGAAATAAGAAAAAATGCTAACAATTAAAAAATTAGTTAACTTGTAATTAGTGAAAGTTAAATAACTAATTACATTTCTTTGATGTTTCTTAAACACGGTTATTAAAATATTCGGTAATCATGTAGTATGCAATCGACTGCTTTCAGTTAATTATTTAATTCTCAGATGGCAGCACTAAAATGCTACTTTTAAATTCGAACATGTGATAAAATGGTAGGAAAAAGAAATATTACAACAACAGCTAATTTTAATGCTGCTGTCTAAAAAACAAATAATTAACTGAAAGTTGTACATTGCATATTACATGATTACCAGATTTTCTATGTAAAATGAGAGTTTTTAAAGTTAGGCAAAAATCTGAATTAAAGTAACTTGTATGAAAGATTTTGCATTTCAGAACTCAAATCTTCATGCTGTTTTAATCAATCAAAAGCTAACCTGAAGAGCGGTTAAATGTTTTACGTTAAAACTTTTAGTTTTATTTACATCTAATAGAAGAATTCATTGAGACAAAACAATAGTAATATCAGTATCAGCTTGTGGCAACCCTTGAGTGCTACACTGTTTCAACATGCCATTTACTGAAACTGTTGAAGTTTTCAAGTAATTAGTATGTTGCAGTTTTACAGAAATTCTGAAAACTAATTCTCAAATCATCTTGGCAGTTCCAGACTAGATAACCTTTCTAATAACAAATTCTACATATTTTTAGCAACTCATGCTGTGATAAATAATTGTAAATTTTTTCTTGCTTACCATTTAAATTACTCAGGTATGTCTATTGAATTTTGAATTGTTACTCAAATATTATTGTGTATTAGTGATGACAAAAGGAACCTCAGTATTCAAGAATTTTAATTTTGCATTTTATAAATTTCATTTGTATTTTCTGAGTAAATGGAGGTGTATTTTAAAAAATTGCATTCTTAAATTTTCCTTTAAGTATGATTTCAAATTTTCTCTTTTTTTTTTTTTTTTTTTTTTTTTTTTTAAGTTATTCTTATTTGAAAAGAAATCTAGATTTTAGAACTTAAAATTTAGAATTGAAAACAATTTTTAAGATTCATCCCACTTTTTAAGCATAATTAATAAATTTATAACTTTATAATGTGAACTAAATCTAAACAGTTTGTCAAAATAGTCAGCATTACAAAAAATATGTGCTTCCTTTCTGCCTTAATCAACACATTAATCTTATATTCATATTTCAATGAAATGTCAAAAATATTTCAAGGCAACTTTAAAGGTTTCCTTTTCACCAGAGAGAGAAATTTAATGAGCAGTGACAGAAATGAAAATAAATGCATTGAAGCTTGAAAACACCGAATGTGATTCATGAAATTAATTTATTGCTTGTAGAATTTAAGGTAAAACTTAAAACTAAAAATCACTGGAACTGTTATCATTTTTAATTATTATATTGCATAGAAAGATAAAACATTTTGATAACTTCTGCATTTAGCACAAAATTAATGTTTTATATTAAATTATTTGTACTATGATTCTAAACTAATAAGTGGACTGTATTCTAACTTAACATGCCGCCGCCCGTTGAAATTACAAATTTCAACATGTAAATTACAAACAAACATACAATTTAACAATTCAAGAAAAACTAATTTCTCCAATACATATGAAACTAATAGTATCTTTCATCATGAATATAATATAAAATATTATAAGCATTAAGAACATTAACATTCACTAGGCTACAATCGAAACTTATTCTTTAAACAGTTCCATTTTTATATAAAGCACAATTTTCATAAGAACATAATAATGTAAACTAAGCATTATTATCCTGGATAGGTAATAAACAAATTTTACTAATACATCGAATATACACACCATTTGATGTTTTCACTTAACAACTCTGGCCTTATATCTTTACCAGGTAAAACTTCTAGAATTCTTGCTAAAGACCATTTAAATGGCGGAAGATTATCTTCCTTTAACACAACTAACATACCTGCCTTTAAATTTTCTTTATTAATAAACCATTGGTGCATTGTTGTAGATGATTTAAATAATCAGTTTGCCAACGTTTCCAAATAACTTGAATGAACTTGGTAATAACTGCCATTTTAGACAGTCTATTATCTGTAAGATGAGACAAATCTGGTTCAGGATATGAAGTAATGGAACGTCCAATAAGAAATGACCCGGCGTTAAGCTTCAAAGTCATTTGCATCTGTTGATAAGGGTAAAATTGGACGAGAATTGAGAATACCTTCAATCTGTGTGACAACAGTCCAAAATTCTTCTAAAGTTAATTTATAACTGCTGATTGTATGCTGAAGATGGTATTTAAATGACTTAATACCTGCTTCCCATAAACCACCGAAAATTTGGTGCTCTAGGTGGAATTAGTTTCCAATTTATACCTTCAGATGTTAAGAAATCTGCTATATCAGAATTAGATTTAAGGACTAAACTATGCAATTTTTTCAGTTCTGATTTTGCATCAACCATATTAGTACCGTTATCTGATATTATGGTATTACATTTTCCACGTCTAGCAATAAATCTTTTAATATTAGCAAGTAATGAATCTGTGGTTAAATCAGTTACTACCTCTAAATGTATTGCTTTAGTAGCTAAACAAATGAATATAGCAACGTACACCTTTGCATAATTACCCTTTCTCTGATTTTTATACTTGATGAGGAATGGACCAGAAAAATCGAGTCCACAAGTATTAAATACAAACCCTGGCTTAACTCTCTCACTAGGTAAATTTCCCATAAGTTGTTCACATACAATTGGTTTAATCTTAAAACATGTTACACATTCATGTACAACCTTTCGAGCTACATCTCGACCATTAATAACCCAAAATTTACTACGAACCTGATGCAATAGTGCTTGAGCACCAAGATGTAAATATTTAACATGGTAATACTGAAAAACAATTAATCTAGTAACTACATGATCTTTTTGGCATTACATAAGGAAACTTTTGGTTGTAATTAAGATTACTATTGGCAAGTCTGCCTCCTCCTCTCAGAAGAGAATCATTATCTAGAAAATGGACATAAAAATTTTAACTTACTTTTGGAAGAAACACAATTCTTATTTTTAAAGACAGAATATCCTTGCTAAAATGCTGTAACTGTACATACCTGATAATGATTTTCTCAGCGTCATCCAATTTCTTTAACAGTTAGAGAACCTATTAAATGTTTTCCCCTTACAATTGGCTATAAATCTACAAACAAAACTTAATACACGAATAATACGAATTAGTTATTACTAATGTTAAGAATATGATCTAAAACAGGGAATTAGAGTTCACATTTAGATTAACTAAGTCATATTCCTTAAGTTTGAGTTCTTGACGTATTCCACATCATCCATATCAGATGAAATTAATTCACAAGGATTAGTCAAAAACCTCTCCTTAGTCAAGAAAGTTGGTCCATACCACCATAAATCATTATGAAGAAGATCTTTAGGTTCAGCTCCACGTGATATCAAATCAGCTGGATTATTGTGAGTGTTAACATGGTACCACTCATGAACCGCAGTCATGCTTCGAATAACAGATACTCTATTAGCAACAAATGTCTTTAGTTGATAAGGTTCCTTCTTAATCCATGCTAATACTATTGACGAATCGTGAAGTCATACACCTCAATAGGTAGCTGAATGGCTCTAATATTCTTTTCATTAGTTTTACCAACAGAACTGCACCACAAAGTTCCAAACGAGGAATGGTAATTGACTTCAGAGGTGACAACGAGACTTGCTGCACAGAAGTCTTGATGAATATTCATTTGAATATGACATACATTTCACATAAATTGCAGCACCATAGGCTTTCTGACTAGCATCACAGAATCCTATAATTTCTATTTGTTTTAATCCATTGGTTAGAACAAATCTAGGGATGCGATAATCGTTGACTATTTTTAGACTATGCAGAAATTCCTTCCATTCTTCAAAGTAATTTTTAGGAAGAGGTGTATTCCAATTTAATTTTAGAAGCCAAAGGTTTTGTAGAAATATTTTAGCTTTTGTCGTAACAGGTCCAATTAAACCTAACGGATCAAAGAGGCGACCTATCGTTGATAAGACATCTCTTTTTCGTGCCTATTTCTTCAAAGTCAGGTATCTTTAAATCGTAAGAAAAACAGTCTGTAGATGTATTCCATGACATTCCTAAGGCCTTTGTAATCTGAGGCTTATCCGTAACTTGAAAGGAGTAATCCTCAGTAGCACTTTCTTTATTCTTCAATAGTTCTGGATTGTTTGAACACCATTTGTGTAACTGCATTCCACCATGTTCTAGAAGACAGGTTAACTGTGCCTGCAACTCCTTGGCTCCTTGCATCGTATTAGCTCCAGTAATAATGTCGTCCACGTAACAGTCCTTCAGTATGGCTCTTGAGGCATGAGGAAAGTCTGTCGCTTCATCCATTGCTAACTGCTTCAGGACCCTTGTTGCAAGGAATGGTGCACTTGCTGTTCCGTATGTTACAGTCCTTAGACGGTAAGTCTACACAGGACTACCAACTGATTCCTTCCACAAGATCAACTGCAGGTTTCGTTGAGATGGTTCAATAAGTATTTGTCTGTACATCTTCTGAACATCAGCTCCTAATGCATAGTTGTACTTTCGAAATCTAATAATAATAGAAAATAAATCTTCTTGAGGTATTCGCCCTTTCATTAATATTGAGTTCAGTGACTTTCCATTGCTAGTAACCGCAGATGCATTAAACACAACGCGAAGCTTGGTAGAGGCTTTCTCTGGCCGATAAACTCCATGATGACTAAGATAATAGCAAGTCGATGTTTCAATTTCTTGAACTTCTTCCATGTGATTTAGATCCTTATATTCTTTAATAAAATTCTTATATAATGTTTTCATCTTCGAATCGCTTTCTAGTCGATTCCACACTTGATGCAATCTTTTCTCAGCCAGCGTTTTCGATTCTCCTAATTCTACACCTTCCCTTATGGGTAACTGAACTACGTATCTTCCATCATTTTGTCTATAGTGAGTACGCTTGAAATGTTCTTCACTCAAAGAATCCTTGATATTTTCAATGGATTCAACTTCCCAAAATCTTTGCAAAATTTCTTCAACTCTTTCTTCACTATTTAGAACTAAACCACAATAATTTACTTCTGAGTCACTCTTGCATGCACCAGACGCGATATATCCAAAAACTGTTTCTTGAAATATCAACGGTTGATTTTCTAATTGAAATTTTCCTTCTTTTAAAATCTCAAAGAACAATTCGGCCCCTAGTAACATATATATTTTGTTAGGTGTTCCAAATTGCGGATCCGCTAATTCAATATCAATGGGAATATTTAATGACTTCACATCTAAACACCTTGATGGAGTTACATTGGTTATTTTAGAAATAACTAAGCAATAACTGATCGTTACATATGTTAAATCCTTATTCGAAATCTGTACATCTAGTTGATAATTAATATTTATAACGTTCTCATTAATTCCAGATACAGATGCATAAATTCTTTCTTTCTTTAAATTTAACAAATTAGCAACTCCTTCACACAAGAAACAACTCATGCTGCCGTTATCAAGTATTGCGCGAACTGGGATTCTTTTTCCTTCGGAATTGCAAATATATATTATTGCAGTCGCCAATAAGACGTTTTTTTCTGCGTGTCAAAAGACAACTTGATTGATTTTTATTAGAGATATCTGCGTTCTTGTTTATAATTTCGTCACTCCCTGATTCCGTTTTTGTTTTTTCTAACTTGATGTTGAATGGCGCCATTTCTGAGCAGGTGGTGTGTTAATGAATGGTGTTTTTTATGGCATTCCGAACATCTGAACTTAAAATTGCATTTTGCGATTAAATGCTCGTTACTGAGACAGTTTAGACACAATTTATGGGTTTTAACTATTTCATATCTTTGATTTGGATTTAATTTCAAAAATGAATCACATTTATGCAGTGGATGATTATTATTTTTGCATATAGCACAAATCGAAACACTATCAGTTTTACCCATCAGAGCCTTTGATTTCGAACTTTTTTCTAACGGATATTTCATTTTATTAATACTACGGTTAATGTTATCCAATAACTGACATCTTTTCTCTAAAAACGAAATTAATTCATCAAACGTAGGAACTTCGGTAGCATTAATGCTTAGTTCAAATTGTTTGCGCGTTTCGAAATCTAGTTTCTGAAGTACGATATTTAATAACAGAATATCCGATAAATTATTTTTCTCATATTTTAAAACATTCAAAGCCCTAACGTTTTTAGTAACATTATCTATTACATATCTATTCCTTTAGACGATTCGAATGTTAAAGTACGTAAATCCATTATGACTTTATATGCGTCTCAATTAATATTTTTATTTTCATACCTATCTTGAAGAGCTTTAAATAGAGAACTAAAAGTATCATCAACAGTTTCAAGATTTTTTGCTTCATCAGTTAATGCAGCCTTTAAATAGTAGAGTTCTGATGAACTTCTGTTAATTGCGTGTTATTCGCTATGACGTTTTCGAATTGAATCTTAAAATTATTCCATTCAGTATATTTACCAGAAAACTTAGGAATTGGTAATTCTGGCAAACGTATTTGTACTTTAGGATCATATTTACTACAATCATTTTCATTTTCAGAATGTGCTATAGATGATAGAATTTCCATAATTCTTACCTCTAGAACTTCCGTTCTTTCTTCCATTTCGGCGATTTCTTCATCGATGTCTGTGACATCTTTTTCATCAACGCTTTCGAAATATCTAATCCTCAAGTTTCTAATATCCATTTGAATGCTTTGTAGCGATCTATACTTTATTTGAATTTCATTCTTATTCGAACTATCATCATATTCCTTCACTACATTTTCTAACCTAGTTAGTTTCGCTTTTAATGAAGTTTTGTTTCTATCTAATGCCAGCATTTTGTTCACTTCTCCGGCTCTGCTGACCATGTACTATGATTCTAAACTAATAAGTGGACGGTATTCTAACTTAACATTATTATTTCTCTTTAGTATTTTATAAATCTAACAGCATATTTTTTAAAGAAATTTCATTCTTTTATTTGAAATTATCCATCCGTTTCTTACAGCTAGCAATACTGTACTTTATTTTCACAATACTAAACATATTAAAATACCTCATTTATTTTTTCTTCTATAAAAATATTATTTAGAAATATATAACTTAAAATACAAAATAATTACTAAAAAATATCTTAACGGTGATTTTTTTTTTAATTATTTTTCCTGATATGTGTCCAGTAATTAAGTTTGTGGAGCTAAATCATTTAAGAACTTAATATCAATATAGAATTAACTAATATTTTTATTACTATTTTCATTCAGCAAAAAGTGCCCGGATGTTTTATCGTCCCCATAGAACTTTCTTGTGTGACATCTGTGATGAGGATGATTGTGGGGAAAAGTGCTACAAGGTAGAAACACAAAGTGAAGAATCTCCATATTCCACAAATGGAGTATCAACAATGCTGAGCATGTTCACTGTCTTTATACTAGTGACAGTTTCTTGCTGTCATGTTTTACAGGTATTACTTTTTAATGGCACAAAATTTGACTGAAAGAAAGTTTCACTTTAATATAATTTGTACATAAATTCCTTCTTGCTTTCATACTGTTTTGCAGAAATTAAATATATCTTTTGAAATGCGGTCTTGAGAAATATTAAAATTATATTTCTTGTTCCATCTTCTAGAAGCATAACAAGAACAGAAAGAGTAACTTGAAAGATAAGTTATGCTGTAGACAAACTACTTTCACTATCAGTGCCTGCCAAAAATTTCCTCACCGAATGACAAAAGTTCACTTCAAATATATTGCAGTTTTTAACCCAGCAGGGCTATTAATTTTATTTTGGCATTTTGCATTGATTCCCTATAAATGGCAAATCACTTTTTAAATTCTTGCCACCAAATATTAGAGCCCTGTAATATATTTAAAGAAATGAAATAATGAAGAATCTGCATGAATGTATGCATGTTTCTTACATTGATAAAACAATGGTACCTAGAGCCATCAAGATTTGAATAACGTAAATCTCCACTGACCATAGGCCCAAATTTGGAATTTGTTTTATTATCTATTTCATATTTTTTAAAGCATTTATGAGTTTTTGATTAAGAAATTTGATTATTTCAAAGCAAATTTGAGCAATGGCAACATCGTACGGGGGAAAAACATTTTATCTCCAGCGCGCAAAACTGTGTATCAGAAATTCTAAAGATCTGCTCTTTTAAATATTTTGTGATATTGCTGTTGAATTTTCTGGTTTAAGTTTGAAGAACATGACATTTAATAAGTAAAGGTAACACACAAAACGTTAAAAAATGTCTCTTTGGGCATAATATGAAATCCTAAAGCTTTCAGATTTTTTTTTTTTTAAATAATTGAAAAATTTGGGTGTTTTTTTGCTTTAAATTTATAAACTCTTTTAAAAGAAAGAAAATTTATGCAAGGTATAACAATAAAGTTTAGTGAAGGCACTCATAAACAGAAGATTTTTACCTGAACCAAGAAAAACCTTTTACATTCCTCTGAAGTTTCCTTTCATTTTACAATGTACAGTTCTGAAAATTGAAAATAAATTCCTTTTTCTGTATCGCATGGAAAAACCCTCATTGAATGTCAGGAATACCAAAAATATTTTTTCTTTTAGGGCCTTTTCAGGTGTGGGAACTAAAATAAGTCTGCTGCAGCAACATCGAGGAAATATAATAGATGATCGGAGGGCATGTAATAAGGAAGTGGTAACTGTTGATTTTTGTAATCTGCAAAGTAATTAATAAATATGCTTTTCTTTCTTAAAACTAGAAGAATAATTCCGAAAATTAAAGAAATCCAAGCGCTGTCTGCTATATCTGAAAGTGATTATGTATGTACTTTAAAAGTATAAGATTTGTATGCTGTTGCATAGTTTTTTAAACCCCTTAACTGCTGCAAAAAATGTACAAGATTCACTCCCCAGTGCCACCGGTTTTTACACAGGCGCATGTAGTTATGCGATGTATTGGGGGGGGGGGAATAAGTGCAAGTTTTGCTGTCTGAAAACTGTTTACTTTCACAAAATAAAGAATAAGAGAGAAAAAAAGAAAATACAGAATTTAATGTTTAGAGTAGGAGTTATAATAAAAATGATGTTTGTATAATTAAAAAAAAATCTCTAAAAATGGAGTTTCGATCTATTTGTAGACCAGTAAAGTGTAATAATCAGGTTTCAGTGTCACACCTTGTAAAATTATTATACCTAAAAAAAAATATTTCTTTTGAATTGTTTGGATGCCATAGGCAAGTTTTCGTATCAAGTCTTGCTCAGCGTTGAACATCTTTCAGACAATAGGCACAATCCTCTTTATCTGACATATCATATATTTCACTGTCAAGACATATTTGTAAAAAAGCACCTACTACACACATTAAAAAATGGAAGACACAGAATAAAAAATAAAAAAAAAAAAAAAAAAAGCAATAACTGCACAGTCAATTACTTTCACTGTTTCAGAAACATCCATCTTCCCATTATCTGTCAAGGTCATTGTGGTGTTGCATTTCAAAGCTTTACAAATAATTTTACTGGTAGCAGTGCAAAAGCAAATGACACTATTTGGGAAGGGCGTATATATACGGTGGGAGCAGTTAATTCATCGGCTAAGCAAGGGGTATATTCCTGTGGCAGTTAAGGGGTTGATAGCAGATATGGTATTGTTATGTCATTTATTTAAGGTAAAAGATGTTAGATGCTTTACACCATAAAATATCACTTAGGTTACTTTTTTATACTGTTTTATTTTATAATGAAATTTTATTTAAATACATTTAAGATTTGACTGTTTCTTATTGATTTTCTTTTAGATATATTATTCTGTCATATGAAAAAGGAGAAGACTGAGCAGAAGAAAATATTCATCAAACATGATTTAAATTTCACTTCACTGTAAATAGTCACTAATTTTTAACATTCATAAAATTATGCTTGTTAAATTATAATAAAATCTTTTAATTTACAATAAAAATATGTCATCCACTGAGCTTATGTTTCATATATCTGCTAACCCTATGCAGTCATTTTATTAGTAGTGTGTATGTTTTAATTTTTTAATACATAAATAACAACTAGATTTCATTAACAAAAACAAACTTTATGTTGCATTCACAATATATATTACAATTATATGTTTAGTTTTTACACAAAACTATGTACAAAAATTTTATATAATCAATCTGCTAACACCATATCATTAATCTTGACCCAGTTGTGATCTATAGCTTTTCTAAGAAATTCAATCCATGTTGCATCAGCTTCGGAAAAGAAATGAGAATTCCTATAATTGAAGAGATTTGTTAATAATATATATACAAGTAAATATATTAAATGAATTTTAAAGTTATGTTTCTTACCCAACATATGTAAGAAGATCCTTGGAGTTCGTTCTCACTAAAGATGCCTAAAGAAAAAGGTATGAACCAAAAATATAAATTTCATACAAGAATTTTAAAATTAATCAAAGATTGAAAGCTATTTGTTTCAAAATGAAAAAAAGGACAAGTAAGAAACTTAGTAAAAATGTATATTATATTGACATTCATGAAATATTTTTTGAATTACAAAAGTTTACAGCAGAATAAAATTTAAAAAATTCTCTTGGATTTCCATATACAGGGTGTCTCAAAAAGTGCACAAACTCTGCACAGCCAGATTCATCGTTGGGAGTACATAAAAAATGCCCAAAAAACTGTACCTGTACAATGCATACTTCAAAAGAAAAATACATCGCAGCCGGTAACAAAAAAACACTTTATTTGACACATCAACAACAGTATTTATATAAAGGCAGATGTTCAAAGCATGCGCCGTGCATATCGAGGCAGGCTTGAGCACACTGTGAAATGGATAACTGCACCCGTCACAGCAGCGAGGCATCCACCGAAGTAGCAAGAAGACAAGCAAACAAGTCCACTTAATATAGTCACTACATCTCGATACACCAAAACTTGAGATGGCCATAGGAAAAAATCCAGTGGTGTGAGATCTATCAATCATGGTGGCCATAAAACTGGATCTCTAAGTCCAATCCAGTGAACGGTGTATGCCATATCCAGACAATCACGTACAAGAGCACAATCATCTGGAAAGATATGCAAATACTGCTGTTGATGTGTCCAGTACAGTGTTTTTTCATTGCACTGGCTGTGATGTATTTTTCTCGTAAACTATGAATCGTATACATACGGTTCTTTGGACATTTTTTATGTACTCTCAATGAGGTATCTGGCTGTGCAGAGTTTAGATGCAATTTATGGTCACCCTGTATATGCATTTGACAAACGTTAATCAAATACTAAAATCTCAGTATTTAATTTTAAAACTTTTATATCTTGATCAGCTTTAATAAACATAAGCATAAAATATGTCTTAAATTTCAACTTTAAATTTATTTTGTAGATTTAATATGTAAAACTGTTTTCTAAGTTAAAAGGGAGAGGAAACTAAATTTAAATTAACACAAGAAAATACTAGTACCGAAATAATTTATGAATTCATAGACCTATATTTCTTTCTGAACATCTGAATTTTGTTTTGTACTAATTAAAATCATTTTAAAGAGTGATTATTTTTTGTTATAATGCACTTTTAACATTGCTTTCCTACTTTCCATTTTTTGAAAAATCATGGAATTGGATTGTGGCAAAGCAAACTCAGGCTCTCTACTTATAGAAAGGAATACTTCTGTGGAGCCCACTTTAAGGCAGACTATCAAGAAAAGAATTTGCTGCTTCAGCTAATTGGCCACTGAACTGACCTTTAAACATCTTTAATTAGTATTTCTGCTTTGAAGATGTAAAATAAAAATTTTTATATAAATATTTGCTTAAAAATCTGGGGGGGGACCTTAATTTTGGTTCAACATATACTGCAAAAGTGATAACACATTAAGTTCTTGCTGCAATTTTACACAGCATATAATTCTAATGATATTTTGAAGCAATTAGAACTACAATTAAAACGTATCTTATTAATTCTATGATTTGAAGAATAACATACAGCAAAATGTTAATTACTGCCTTGAATTAACCTTACATCAAAATCTTATATTAATTTTTTTTTAAAAGTCAACGTACCTGATGGCGAACAGCAGAATGGTTCACAGGTGGATACAGTGACAAAACAAAATCGTCTACAAGTGCACTACTGGATTTTACTATTTCAGCAATTCCATCCAATTCACTTATTGAACGTTCATCATTACCATCACCTCTTTCTGAAATAGCATGCAAAGTTTTCTTTATGCAAGCTTTTGTTGCTTTGACTAAACCTGAACATGGTAAAATTACATTTCGATCTGAATCAGTCCATGTTCGAACAGGTGGTATTCTTATACCATTTCTTGGCGTTACTAAAGAAAATTCAAGATCTGGCATTTCATCTTCGTTTTCATAAGCCTGAAAAAAAAAAAATTTTTTTTTAGGAAGAAGATTCATACTAAGTTTATATTTACATTCTTTTGTTACTATTTTTAATTGAATTTAATTATTAATTCTATCTGATAATTAAAACCATTTGTAGCTAAGGCATTTCAGCTTTGCAAATAGAATAAATTGAATTTAATTATTAATTCTATTTGATAATTAAAACCATTTGTAGCTAAGGCATTTCAGCTTTGCAAATAGAATAAATTAGGATTTAATACATTTGCAGACAAAAATTAGAACTTTTTTATATAAATTGGGTGGCGATAATGCAGCTCTTGCAGGCAAGTGGTATGGCTCTTATGCAAATAAAATATATGTACAAAATATAAAACTACTTAAATGTCCAGAAGAAATTATTTCATTTCTTTGAAAGTTGTCAGGCATTTCTTTCCATCTGAAACCTGTTTCACTGCTTTTAAAATTATATTAAATATGCACTTGTGGCTTTGGAAAAATCTAGTTGCCGCTTTTACTGACTTGGAAGTTTGACCACCACTGTATATATATATATATTGTATGTGGCTCGAAAAACACTTTTTAAAAACTTTTCTATTGTTATACCCTGGAAACGTTATGCCAAAAATCCATTTTAAAATTTAGGGAAGCTCTGAACGCATTGAGGAACAGGAAAATTAAGCAAATACTTTTTAAATTTTCAGAAAAAACTAAGGGGGAAAAATATACAAAGAAATGTGGTTGAAATAGGTACCACAATAAAATTAATAAAATCAATTTTAAAATGAAATGCTAAAAAATTTATAAAAACTGATACAATGGAAAAATTTTAAATGATGCAGTAGATTTCAATGCAAATTTTGAACACTAATCTATCCTGTTATTTTTTAGATTAATAAAATGGAATTCATTTTTAATGCAAAATCCATCTATAAAAAGAGGGAGAGTTATTTAGTATTTATAAAATGGCAGATTTCATGCAGTAAGCTAAATTTTGCAAATGATTCTTTTCAGCATGAGAAATGAGCTTAATATATAAATAAGTATTGATTTTAGATGAATTTATACAGAAGGAAGAAAAATAGTATAATGTAATGACATCATAAAGAAACCCTTTAAACTGAAGAACTGATACTTCTGTTTCATATGTTAGCATGTTTTTTTTTAATGCAGAAAATCAGCCAATTAATATCTTTTTAATATTCCTGCATCAGTGGCCAAAAGAAAGTGAAGCAGCAAAAGAAAGTGAAGAGTTTGTTTTATAATCTTTGAAATTTTCAGAACTATGTAACAAATTAATTGTTAGATGATGAAATTTTAAAATCATGGATGTCAAATAGTCTAAACAAATCAGGCGATTTTCAAAAATTCACCAAAAAAAATCAGACATTACATGAAAAATTTCATTAAAATGTTTTTTTTTTTTTTTTTTTTTTTTTTTTTGTGTGATCTATCTGACAATGTAAACAGTAAATTTCATTTCAACATTAAATTTGTTGTTGTTGTTACTTATCTCACTTGTCTGACAGTAACATCACAGCAACTCCATGAAATTCATTATGGCAAGGAGTGCAGAATTGTGCCTGTCATTGACAAAAGCTCTCAGCACCCCAGGAGGATGAGTTCAAGGGTCTCCCACCCCTCCTTTTCTACCAGCAACCTTTCGACAGGACTTTCAGCTTGCCACATATTTAAAGTGTCCCCATGCTGCCCAAACACCATTACATTTCCAAGTATGTATGCCTTCTCCGAGATTCGAACCCAGCCCCTTTGGTATGGCAATCAGCATCACTAACCACTATCCCAGTTGTGCGGCACATTAAATTTAAAAATCATTTCAATAATAAATTAAAGAAGTCTAAACTGAATTTTTAAAAAATCACTTCACCACAGCATTGTCATTCATGGACACTATGTGTATAAATTTGAACTCGATAGCTTACCTGGAAGTCGTTTAAAAATTTATGACAAACACCAAGAAGCTAAATAAAAGCTCATAAAAAGATCTTTTTACATTCTTGGCAGTTATTTAAGAACCACAACTAGATAGCAAAAAGACCAGTTATTATTATAATGAATAAACTGCATCTGCCCAAATTGGAAAATTATGCATATTTATCTAATTGCATTATAAACTTTTCTCATTTCATATCACTTGTAAACAGAAATTAAGTATCGATATTATGGAGCTAGAATGATAACTTGAAAGATCCGTAATTCACCTGGAAAAAATTTTCATTGAGAACCAAAAAAAAAAATTTAGTGTAAGTAAATTTTAAAAAATAGCTCCTTATCTCTATTAAAATAAAATATAAAAAACCAATAGCATTTTTCTATTAAAAGGCATGCCATGTATTTTCAGTGTCATATTGATGCATTTTAACTTACTTCTTTACCTACACTTTTGACTTGATAACTTTTTCAAAAAAGATAAAAACAAATACAATAAAAATTACATTTATTCCTTCTTAAATGGCTAAATAAAAATAACAGTAAACAAACATTGCTTTAACAAAAGAGGGGGAAAAGAATCATTTAAGACTACACAGCAGGCAGAAAATTTAAAATGGCATTTAGTGTAGCAGTGAACATTTTCCATTCTGAATGGATGCTATGCCACATGAATTCAATAAAATAAGAACCTAAATATTAGTGAACAGTGTTTCTTTGACATTTATTGCACAACACAGGCACTTGTAACAGGATGAATATGACACCCAGTGTCCAGGTCAACGAAATAATAAGAGTGACTTACTATGAAATATTCTAAATCCCAATAATAAAATCGATTCTAGTTGAGAAAGACAACATTCCTTAGATGAAAAGCAAGGTTGCATAAGTGATGGTTATAAAGACAATTCAAGACAGAAGCCAAATCAAAATGGCATCGAGGTAATACACCAAAAAGTGTCATGGTATGGCTTTGATGGAAAAGAACTGAAGTAACAAACAGAATAATTTTATTAACAGAGTATTTTATTAATTTCATAGTTTTTTATAAAAATAAAAAAAACTATGAATAAAACTTAAATAGTTTAAAAAGATCATTAAGCTTTAATTCTAAAAGATACTGATTTCATGAGGTTGTAATTTTCAAATGTATTAAATAATAAAAAATGTTATCGGTTACATAAATAAAATGCTAAAATTTTTTTTAATAATTGTTTCAAAACTGAAAATGTAACTGCATCAATTCAAAGGAGGAAGATATAAATAAAAACATATATTCTGAAGTGTGCTTTTCTACAATATAAATAAAAATATTTATTCTGAAGTGCGCTTTTCTACTATCATATTTCAAAGAACTGATAGAAAATTATAAAGATATGAAAAGAAATCCCTTAGTATACATTACATCCAGTAGCTCTTGAGAAGCATCTTGAACCATATCATGTTCTTCTTGACATAATGCTAAGACAGCATCTCGGTTATCTAAGATAGAAAAAATTTTGCAGTACTAGTAAGTACTATTTTATATGTAAACTTTAAAAATAATATATTTAATTTTTATAATGCATTTTCAACAAATAATGCTTCAAGACATACATTGTTATACTTTTTACATTATATTTATAAAACAATGATTTTATGTTATATTATTTATAACAATTTAAACAAAATCTAGGTTTTAATACAAATTTCTGTGAACTATGAAAAGTTATGAAATTTGTTTTGTTATGTGATTATTTATTTATAATGTTAATTCAATTTTATTAAACTAGGATATATACAGAATCACATGGGAATTTGTGACTGGTTATTAGCAGCAATTAAGAACACATAATAATTTTAAACATCCAGACTTCCTTTTATTTAAAATATAGATAAACACATAATATACATTTTACAACACACTTTCAGAAAATAAACCAACAATGCCACACTTTACAAGTGCCCTCTTTGAGAGTTTTTTTACGTCCTTGTATGAAGTAAAGTATTGTAGTTACAAATAATTCGGCTGCCGTTTTTCAACAGAAACATCTACTTGGATTATTTTTTATGACATTCTGTACATATGCACAGAATAAATGACTTTTTTTTCTAAAATGGATTAGAAAGGGATTTTTTTCGTGAAGTCTGTATGTATATATGTATTTGCATATCTCAAAAATGATTAGCCGTAGAACATTGAAATTCCGAATACAGACTGCTATAATATATAGTTGTGCACCTCCTTTTTATTGCAAGAGCAGTACCAAATATGTATATTGTATACATTTATATATATATATATATAGACACACATGTTTATATATATATATATATCCACCCATTATGCTGCCTTTGTTTTCACAATCATTGGTTGTAGTCATATACTTCCAGTTACAGAAGTGTTTTAAATGATGAAAATATTCATGTTTTGGCAATGTCAGATTTTTTTAAAAAATTTATTTTCGACAAATAGCAAAATCTAACTTTTAATGTCATCTTTTGATTCCTATAATTATAATACTCATTATGAAAAATTATAAAAAATTTGATCCCGCAGATAAAAACTGACACTGATATTTAATTTCAAAATTTGCAATTTTTGACATAATTTTTAACTTTCCTTTAGGCATTGATTAATTAAGTTAGAACAGTTCAAGTAAATAATTTTAAATGAAATGCGGCAAAAAATATGTATGGTTTAATAGGCCATACAAGGAATGTTCACGAAAATAAAATCAGAAAGTACACCACTAGAGTAAATGGGCAGTGGGAGTTATTTTTGAAAATGAAGAAAAATAGAGACATTCATCCAACTCCACAAAGTTCCTCTCAAGATACAGAAAGTATTCTCCAGACACTGAAACTTCAGTATTGTTACGTTTTTTTCTGACACCAGTTGTCACGCTATTTTCTTCCTTCATGTTCGTACATGGTTCATGTGGATTTGGAGTCAGGCATGAAAGTGCAAGTTGGCAAAAAAAGCTGAACAACGCGCGGACACAAAATTACACAAAAACTAATTGCGCACACGCGACTTCAAAAAAACACATTTTAATAAAATATCAACCTTTTAATGTAAAAAGTATTAAACATATACATATAATTAAACTAAAATAATACTTGTACTTACTATTTTGCTATTAATTTTATCTTCCAATTGTTAAAAAAAATCAATAAATCACAAGAGATTGTAATGAACTAACCTTCTTTAAGATGCTCTTTATGTAACTTAATTTAACAGTTGATACATAAATACTGTACACAACATTACAACACACTAATATACATATTTATGTTATATATTACTGCTCATTTTCAGACAATGACAAGTTTTAGAGATTAAATATATATATATATATATATATATATATAACTGTTACTATAGCTTTCAATTATCTTCACTTTTAGCTCAATAAACAGTACTTTATATAACACCAGAAAAAGTAGTCATGTGAGATAATATAGTTTACAAAATAACATATAGTTAAAGGAGGAATACAAAAAATAACTATTTTGTCTCAGTCTGACTCGATCCTGATTAAAAATTTTTAGGGAAAAAGTTTTTTTTTTTTTTTTTTTGCTGCTTTTGCAGCCAACTTTTCTAATTTCCGTTTACGAGCTAGTCTCCGTTTCTTTTCAGCAGCTTTTAAACAATCCATTGATACTTTTTTATTTTCTTCTTTATTTTCTGCAATGTTTAATTGCTTTTTTTTTTAGATTCTCGCTCCTTCTTTTCTATCTCTAGCTCTACTTTGTACAGTTTATGAGCATTCCTTAAATTTTTATATAGAGTTTTGTGTATTAGAGAATGCAAGTGGTTATTCGTATGTCTGACAGATGGCGCCAGCACTGATCGCTGAAATTATTGAAGTCAGCTCTCGTTTGACGGTTGCTTGCTCTTCTTTGATTCGATATTCGTACGCATCTAGTTCCGCCTTTCAACATAAGCCCCACCTACTTCATCTTGATGTGAAACAACGTATTTCGCAATCTTGGCTCAGGCAAACTCGAAAAGTTGGCACAAGGGGTGCCTGCGTTTGATCGCTAACCCGGCGTAATATTATACGATTGCATGATGTAAAGTTTTTTTTACAAAGCAGAGAGGAAGAGAGAGAGAGCATGTCCTCCATTTACCCCACACACACACACACACGCGCGCGCGGAAAACTTTCATGCCTGTGGAGTGAATAAGGACGACAGCATTTGATGGAATATTGAAACACACTTTATTTAGCCAATATTAATCAGGACAGCTCCAAAATCACTTTACAGTCATTGAAGAACTACTATAAACACACTGACACAATCAGCGACACAGCCTGCAGGTTATCAGGCTATAACGGTGAAGACATCTTTACTGCAAAGCACCAGAGTACTGCTCCTGACTCTGCTTGGTTGTTCTCGGAACTCCATGTATTCTTGAGACTCTCCATGCTACAACTCGCGATGCACTCGACGACACACAGAGCACAGCTCCCGACTCCAGTTCAGTTGTTCCCGGAGCTCAACACGCTCTCTCAATGATGCACTAACCGTGATACACTAAGAGACTCTTTCGGTTCACTCGGCACTCGCTGACCGACTGTCAACTCGATTGACTCCACACGGACTACCTAACTTGCACTTCTCGAGGCACACTAACTGACTGTGGACCAGCAGGGTTTATGTAGCTTTTGGCTTGTGTTCAAGAACATTCTGGGCTAAACCGGTGAAAATTCGTTCCAGAAGGTTCTTCCATCCGTCCATGGCATATCGTCAATTTTGTCGCCAAATGTGGCAACCCTGCCTTTCTTGCTCTTTTATGGCAACCCTAAAACTGCTTTGTGGAGAAGCTATCTTACCACACCTGTACATTTCATAACAGTATTAAACAAGTGATCAACAGCAGCAAATTCAACAACTCAAAAGAAATATGAATCATTATTTGCTGATAAAGTGAAAACTGCTAAAATGTCTGTCATAAAATAAAACAGAAACCCAATGAAAAAAAGGAAAAAAACACTTATTCACCAGAATCCTGAAACTTTAAAGACCAAGCTGATTTATGAAGAGAAGAGATGTTAAAATTTGATTTAATAGAAGAAAGTAGTGTTGAAATTGCATATCCTATAGTTTATGTAAACAAGAAAGATGGAGGAATTTGCATGTTGATTATCATGGATTAAACATTGTAACAATTATTGATGATTTTCCTAAGTACAATGCAGGAGAACTTATACATTCAGTAGAACAAGCTAATATAATATCAACACTGGATTTATTACGAGGATATTTGGCCCTATCTATACTCTATGGATCCTGAAAGTCACGATTACTCTTCATTTAAACTTCCAGCATGCGCGCTTGGCAATTTTACATGAGGACGCGCGCGTCATATTTTTTACGACATCCATTATTTTACCGTTTTTGGCACGAAAAATGACAGAAATGAGTGAATATTGATAGCAAATTTGTTAAGAAATAAAATGTTAATCTTATTATTGCAAAATACAAATGATATCACATTCAAATATAAGTAAATTATTTTTAAGTTTTTATGACAGTGAGATGGAAATGCAATGATGTATTTCATTATAGAACATTTTAAATTTATTATTTAACCCTCTGACTGCTCAATTTGTGGACCGAAATCGCTTCCAAAATTGTGTAATTTTTTTTTTTTTTTTTTTTTTTTTTTTTTTTTTTTTTTGCATATTTTAAATCTATATATATTGGAGAATTGAAAAATACATTTTTTTTTCTTTCTAGAAAATATTTTTTATATAGATTTTTATCATGAGAAACTAAGTTGCCAGAAAAACCAATTTCAGATGTTATCATAAAAAAAAAAAATTTTTTTTAAATAAATTGCAGTTGAATTACAGTTAATTTCTATTTATTGCATAAGATAAAAAAGTAAAATGCATAAAATTCAAGAAAATTTAAAGCACCTAGGAAAAAAATACCTTATACGTAGTATAGTATGATAGAACAAGTTTGTTGAATCATGATCAGAGTCATCGCTATTTGAGGGGCAGACCAAAAAATTTATATCACTATCACTATCGCTATCAAAACTAAAAGCGCTTTCAGAATTTGATAAGTCATCAGGAATTTACTCTCTGTTAATTGCTGAAAGTTTTCTAGCAGCCATTTCTGTAAGAAAAAAGTGGCAAAAAGCGAAGTTTGAGCGGTAATACCATGTGCCTTCAAATGCCGCAATTTAGTGGACAACTAACGATACCTGTTGGCAGAACCGTAAACTAAACGTCTAATACTGTATACAATTTATTTCAATGAGTTAAACGGGGGGGAAAAGGGGACGCGCTCCTCAATAAAAGAAGAAAACACATGCCCGCGGAAATTGCAGGATGCGCAGATTTTGCTACATTTGCCTAGCCTGTAGAAATCGCGGGATGAGCAGCCAGAAGGTTAATAATTATATTTTAAAATCAAAGCTAATTTTAATATTCATCAAAGGCAAGTATAGACAAATAAAAAATGAAAATGCCTTGGTAGGG